CAAGCATTCCTGAACCAAATTGCATTGAAGTTTCCCATCTCACCAGATGGCAAAATATTCAAAAAATGGTTCGGCAATTTTGGAAGCGTTGGCACAAAGAATATCTGTGTCGATTACAACAAAGACCAAAATGGCTTTTGCCAACTAAAATCTTCAAGTTAATGATCTGTGTCTCATAAAGGAGGATAACTTACCTCCAACTAAATGGAAAATGGGTAGAATTACTCAGCTACATCCTGGTCTTGATAGTGTTGTTAGGATTGTGACTATTAAGACTTCAGATGGCATGGTTAAAAGAAATATTACAAAATTGTGTCCATTACCAATTTGAGTTTTAATTCATGTATTATAAATTAAGTATTATATCATAATTTTAATATTGTATTGTGTTTTAAATTTACTGAATTTTAACCACTAAATGTTGAAATAGTATTTCAAGGTGGGCGGCATGTTCGCGCCTTATGTAAATTTTGATTTTGTTCCCTGCAAGAGGGCGCCTGCGAGCGCCGAATTACTTGTATATCTATTGTACGAACTTGTTCTTCACACAGTCTAATAAACGCAGTAACGAACGTTTGTGTCTACTTTCCATCCGCTAACATCTGTACGTACCGACATAATAAACAAAAACCTTTTACTCAAAACGGATTGTAAAATAAATTTAAAATGGTTACAGCCAAAAACATCGCGGAGAAAACAACGCAATGCGAAAACGTTATGATACAAAATATTGGGGGAAAAAATAAAGCAAAGAGAAAACATTGCAGTTCTAAAACATCGTCGTCGAAAATAAAGCGGTTTAAAAACTTCGCAGTTAAAAAACATCGTCGTCGAAAATATCGTGGTAAAAAAGAAAGTACCTACAAATTATCGCATGACGATAACATCGCAGACATGATTTTTAAGGCCTTTAATAATTTCAAATGGATATTAGCATAATGATTTGTGTGCGCAAGATGGAAAGAAGGATTGTTTTCTCATTCATATTTTTTCTTAACTAATACATTTTTAAAAAAAGCAAAACAAAAAATTTAAATAAAACAAGAAGTAATTTTCATTATAAGAATATCAGATTAACAAAAGTGAAGAAAATTATCTCATAATTAACTTCGCAATTTTTTTACTTACCTTTCTTTTTTTATTTTTTAGATAATACTTTTCATGAAAAATTACTAGTAAAACGTATAAAAAATATTTTATTAATGAATTTTGTTAGTTAACTCAGTTTGAAATTCTATTAAGTGCTATAAATTGCATTAATTTTCTATACTTAAGTTTCCATTTTACATTTTCAGCAAATATTTATTAGATAAGAAAAAATATGAAAGTACAAATTATCCTTCTTACATCTTGCGCTCACAAACCCTTTTGCGAGTTTTTACAATTATTAAATTTTACAGTTATTGAAGCCTGAAAAACGCATGTCTGCGATGTCGTTGCCATGCGATGATTTGTAGGTACTTTATTTTTTACCACGATATTTTCGTCGAAGATGTTTTTAAATTGCGAAGTTTTTGAACCGCTTTATTTTCGACGACGATGTTTTGTTCCACGATGTTTTAGAACTGCAACGTTTTCTCTATGCTCTATTTTCTCCCACGATGTTTTGTACCCCGACGTTTTCGCCTTGCGTTGTTTTCTCCGCGACGTTTTCATCCGCGATGATTTTGCCCCAATGCTTCGGCGGACAACATTTAAAATGGTTTCAAAAGAGATTTTTTTTTCGTGAGATATGTATGTATCTCGTAAACTCAAAACATAGCAGCTTTAGAACTTTGAAATTTTTTACATGGACTGATATAACATGTAGTTGTGCACCTCCCTTTTTGCTTGCAATCTGTCGCACCAAATGTGTGTATATATATATGTATACATATATGTAATGATAGCACAGTTTTGGAAGCACTGATGTAAGAACACTAAGATATAAGCTTAGCAATGTTGTTTAGATATTTGATCCATATTAAAGAGGCAAAAGTCGAGCCGGTTTAATTTACTTTTTTATTAAAATTCACATTTGTGGCCAAAAAGTCAATTGGCACTCCACTCGTGCTTATTTCCAGAATATTTGCATATTTGATACTATGGCGACAGAAGTCAGCATAGATGATTGCAGCACCGTCTTGCCAGGATGAAAACGTAAGCTAAAAGTGGACGCCGCAATTCAAAGGAAGAAGGGGGAGCCAAGTTCGAGTTAAAAAGTTTTGGTTTACAATTATTTCATTGGGCAAGAGGTATCTGCATTTAGCGTTACGTAAGATCGCATGATTAATTTGAATGACGCACTTTAGACTTATAGTGCTATTTTTTTATAGCGAGAGGAAGTCCCAAATTAAATAAAAAATAACTAAATAAATAAATAAAAATCTGAATGGTTTCAGATTCTAAAGTACGTCCAAAGAGGCGTTTTTTTAAACATTTTGTGTGTTACCTTTATTTATTTAATATCCTGTTCTTTGCACTTAAACCATAAAATTCAGTTCAAGATAAATATCGCAAAATAATTTTAAATTGAACATATCTTTGTTTCCGAGACACAGTCTCACGCGCTGGAGATAAAAATGTTTTTTCTGTACAACGTTGCCATAGCTCGCTTTGAAATCGTAGAGTTTGTAAATCAAAAATTCGTTAAAGTTTTACAAAATATGAAATCGATAATGAAACAAATTTCAAATCTGTGCTTTCAGATGCCCATATTCGCAGTAGGATTACGTCATTCAAAATTGGATGGCTCTAGGTATCGTTCTTTTATCACAATGCGAAACACATACTTACATTTATGCAGATTCTTCATTATTTAATTTCTTCAAATATAATACAGGGCGATAATATTAGGTGACTACAGTTTGAAAAGTGAAGCGGGCATTCAGAGTGATTCGACACAAAATCGCAAAACGAAAACAATAATTTTTCAGGGACAAAACCCCTTTGGATTATTAAAAGAGGTCATAGCCAATTAAAATTGCTTTCATATTTTTTATCTTACATATATGTATATATACTCCCTCTGTTATCCGGCTGTTTGTAAAATTGTGCATTTATTGATTTCAAAGTAACTGAATTATGTTGTTCTTACGTTCCGGTTAAAGTTTCTATGCCTTTAGCCTTAAGTTAATCTGCATACATTGGTTGTACAATTATCAACAGTTTAAAAGTTGTTTAAGTGCTACTAAGTCTAAAGCAGCCGCCATTTGTTTGCATTGGAAATTCTTTAGTAGAATAGTTTTTGCACATTCAGTACCTTTTTTCGAGTGGGACCAAAAGTAAACTTTCAGTTTTGTTGTACTGAAAAAAGCCTTTTTCATGACCGATGGCCGAATAGCTTGTTTTTGCGTAGAAAGTCTAATTTAACTGTAAATTTATCTGTTTTTAACTTTAGCTGGTGTTTTATGTTTTTCTGCATAGTTTTTTTAATGAAGATGTTTTGAGTTTTTATGTGTTTTTGCTTTGCCGCGAAGTCAGAACTGAATTAATTGAATGAGAAATATATCTCTAATGAAATTGTAATAAATAAGTTTAAATGAAATGCAGCAAAAATGTGTTTAATTTAATAGGCCATACAAAGAAGTCATGTAGTGTCCACATCAAATTTTTTAGTTATAAATCTTCGTTTATTATTTTATTTATTGTTGCTACAGATGCATTTTAAAGATTTAGCAACTGATTTCAGCGTCTACAAATTTTCTGTTATTACTAACGATTTAACCATAAAAGTATCAGAAACAATACTATCTTTTATGGGTATAGGTTTGGAAACTTCGTTCCAAGTAGAAGTAATGATTGAAGGTTTTTTTCTTTCCAATTAATAATGTTGCTTATTTCGCACTTACAAATTTTAATACCATGCATTTCAAAACGTTTCTGAGTTATGAAATAGGAATACTTATCGTCAGAAACTCAAAAACATGCACATTACTTTCGTAAATGAGGATAGGATAGTTACAGTCCTGAAATGCCACTTTAAAGTAACAGACTTTAGCTGAAATGTCTGTGTATTTTAGTTGACTTTAGGCGTGTGTTTGTGAGTACGGCAAAGCCTCGAGGGCTATCTGCCTAAGAGGAGGGATGCCTTCGTGGAGGACTTTCTAAGGGAAACTGGCTCGTATACACGTTACACATGGGGAAAACCACGAAAACGCCCATGCAGCCAGCCCGTTCGCGGGATTCGAACCTCGGACCGAACTACCAGTGTTCAGCGACTTTACCGCTCGGCCGCTGGTGGGCTTGACTTTAGGCGAAATGACCTCGTGAAAATGACTGTGTATTTGCTGCTAGTTATTAGAGTTTTTTTCTAAGCTCATTAATACGCAGATAACTAAACCTCATCAATACAGTTTTACGTATTTTAAAATAAAATATAGCTGTGAATTTCTAGAGGACGCTAAGCATTTCGTTTTTTTCTGAAAGTGGGCTGAAACCAATAAAGTTTGAGAAATGCTAGATTAGACATATGTACGCCTGCCTGAAAATTAATAAAACGCTTTCTCTCTTTTGGTAATTTTGTACACTTACGAAATCATAAATATTTCTTTAAAAATATTAAGGTAAAAATATATTTCAGAGACTGCGTCTTCTGATCTTCCACATAAACTATATAGTAGAACTGAAGGCGCTGCCTCCTTAACCATCTACGACAGACTTTTTTATCGTAGTTATGATTTCTTTACCATTATTAGTTATTATTATTATCATCAAATATTTTTTACTCAGAACCGCTTACAGGAATCTAAGTTTATGCAAGGCTGATATTAATAAACTAAAAAATACACATAAAACTTTTTAACTTACATGTTTTTTGCTAAATCAACTAAGCGGAAAATATACTTTTCTGACTCAACATCTTTTATCATACGAAACTAACAATCATCTGGCTGTCAGCAATGCGAATTTCAATTCTGAAATGCTAAGTGAACGCTAAACTGAAATGGATACAATTATTTTTTATTTCTAGTCTCATCTACGGTCAAAAATCGCCTGATAGTTCCAATAGTCATACTCACATTATCAAATTTATGTGATCCCATACGTTTCTGTGATGGTACGAAGACGGTGACAAAACAAAAGATGCTTGTTGCCAACAAAAGGGCTGACGTTAAGAAAGAATGATCATGAAACATCATGTAATCGGAGGGAATTGCACATGGCGTCAGTGTGTTGGGCCCTTCTCTAAGAAGAAGTTCTTCAGCTTGATGAGAGGTTAACCCCTAAAAATAGAATTGAAAATAAATTTTATTCAGATACTTGTTGACAGTTGTAGTGGAGCAAGGCCAATGGTAATTAAATAAAGCGCCCGGCCATCGAAAAAAAAAATTTTTTTATAAATAATTTATCTTTCAATAAACTTTAAAACAAATGAAGCCCAGTTTTTCAAGAAGAAACGTCAACTGAATTTCAGATTTAAAGGGGTGCCAACAGCTAAACTGGTTAGAAACGACTCGTACAGGATGGGCCAAATAAGACCTACCGATGTTAAACACAAGTAACACTTTTAATTTTGGATATAATGATTTTTTCTTTTGTAGGTTGTAAATGAATTCTTGGAAATTTATTATGGAACCATACAGTGCAAAAAAAAGCGTTAAAATGATCCAGTTTTTCTATTCTTGTCAACGATCAATTGTTATGACGCAGCGTAAATATCAGCAGTATTTTAATTCAAGTATACTGTTTGGTGCGGCGTTATGGCCAATAGAGTTATCGGCTCATATTTTTTCGAGAATGGGGATGGAACGCCAGAAACGATTTCCGGAGCTTCTTACAGACCAATGATTGGAAACTTTTTGCGGCCAATGGCGGAGCAGATTCCTTTTTTTTTCTGGGGATATTTAAAATACAAAGTGTATGTTAATAAACCAGAGACTATTAGACAGCTCAAGCAGAATATTCGAGACGAAATACTGAGCCTTCAACCAGAAACATGATGTGGTGTAATGGAAAACGCGTTAAAAAGAGCCAATCTCTGTATCGAGGAAAATGGTGTACTTTTGTCTGATGTCATATTTCGTACATAATTTCCATAAAATATATTTCATGTATAAAACAATTAATCAAAATAACTGATTATTATAATAGTTATCCGTGTTTAACATTAGTAGGTCTTATTTGGCCCACCTTGTATAATGTAAGTTTAGACAGAACCCAGTGTTCAGGCATATTTAACTCTTCTGCTAATCTTGAAAATATTACTGACGTACATTCGTTCAGCATAATTATATGCTGAAATAGTAAATTCTGAACAATACAAAACAGCGGTATTAGTATTCCATTAGAAGGAAAATTATTTTCTTCAATGCTAAAATTGATTTTTATCAAATTTCTTGGCAAAAGCACTTCAAGAGAGAACAAAGTTCAGTATACCTTGTTCACGTTTTCTTGTGACTATTATCAAAGATCCAAACAAAAGCCGTTACTAGAGAAGACCATTAGCGATGAGAAAATTTGCAGACTTTCTTGTAGGCCTTTCTCTTGGCTTACAGCCAGGCATGCAGTATCATGAAGAAAATGAAAAGGGTTAGAATGAAATTCTTGATCTAAACAAATATTCTGATGAGAAAAATTATCTGCAGTGATAAATTTTCCAGTGAAGAGTTTTACCACTGAGCACTTCGGTATAGGTCCTCGTTGAATTTTATATAATTGTTCCATTTACAATCCTCCTTGGACTTTGAAAAGCTTCTCAAGAAGAATGGGATAAAACTCCTCTTCCGATATTACAAAAAGACTGTGTAAAAAGTTTTGAAATTACAGTGTAAAAAGATAATGAAGAATAAGTGTTATCAAATGGAATATTACAATAAATACTAGCGGGGAAACCCGCCAGATGAGTGAGCTGCTATGAGGTATATGCACTGGAAAACTTAAAATAAAAAGAACTATTAATTTAATCACAAAGTTGCTAGCGGCGGCCCAAACAAAATTTACAAGTTCTATGCACACCTGAAAGAGAAAGTACATAAAAACACTTCAATACGAATGGAAATCAGTTCATTCTTTCCAAACAACAATCATTTCGTAAATAATTTTTGCATTGCCAAACCAGGAAACAAAAACTTTTGTCACTTCAGGTTAATACGTATACATATGACGTGTTAATTTAAATTTAATATAATATAACACCTTTTTTTTTTTCAATATCAATAAAATAGTTAGCATAGCAATAACATATCGTGTCAATTATCCTAATCTTAAACAAAAGCGTTGCCAACAGCAGCTATTTATTTAAAATGCTGACATTAATTAAACATTTTCAACTTATAATGACGTCACATGCAATCGCGTGCTTTCTTCAACGTCAGAATATGGCCTTATATAATAATAATATTTTTACTGTTTGGCAATGCTATTTTTATTTTATACTTTTTAAAACTTACAAATTTTTTATTAACAATCTCTCCGATTTGAAAGCGAGCAGTGGCTACACTTTCCGATTTAAAGCATTTTTATCTGCAGCGGGCCAGACTGTTGCCACTTGGGAAAATAGGTGCGAAAATCGGCGTTTTCAGCGTTTTTAGTAATTAATATTTCAGTTGATTTAAGTCTTAAGAAGATGGGAATGGTCGATAAGACTTCCCACGCATGTTTAGAATCCGGGGGGTACCGTCTCGAAATTCAGCTCCCCGCCGTTAAAGATGATATGCCTTAACAAATAAACTGACCGGCACAGATTTTTAACAGTATAGATTTCTCTTTGGTTCATGCATCTATCTGTTTTAGGTGGATTTTCGTAGCGATGAAAATTTAAGACAGAAACAAAATTGTCTGCTACTATTTTATCTAGAAGCCATTTCAGCCATTTTTACCTCATTGCTTCCCTTGACTTTTCCGGCCATCGACTGGACAGCTAATCAGTGGAGAATATGGGAATTTTAGTTCAGATGATGGCGTTTCTAAACTACATTACTGAGAGGAAACCGAACAGTAACCTTGTTTTACAACTTATACGTAAGTTGGACTGACAAGAAAGATCTTCCAACTTTGAACTCTTACGTTTTCCTGAAAAACATATGGATGAACGTGCTCATCTAAGAAATACATAATAGCAAAATATTTACCTCCTAATATTATACAGATAGGCAATTAAAAATTGTAAAATAACAAAATTTAGAGACACAGCGTTGATTGACGACTTGGATATTCGCCAAGCTCATCGATTGTCGCAATGAAAATATAAAATAATGAATACAGAATAAAGCGAAAGAAATGTATTTTGGCCTGGAAATGAAACATTAAATAGGACTGATGAAAGTTTAACTCTTGAAAAATTAGGTCAAATTACATGAAAAAAATTATTAAAAAAATCTGAAAGGGTTCAGTTTTTAAATTACTTTCAAAGGGGCGTTTTTTTAACATTTTGCGTGTTACATTTATTTATTAAGCATTATGATCTTCACACTTAAACCGTAAAATTTAGTTCAAGAGCAATATCGCAAAATAATTTTAAAATGGGCATATGTTTAGAATTTCTAATACACAGTCTCACGTGCTGGAGATATTTTTTTTTTCGTACAGTGCTGCCATTGCTCGCTTTGAAATCGTTTCGTTTTAAAAAAAAATTCGTTGAAGTGATACAAAATATGAAATCGATAATAAAACAAATTCGAAATTCAAATTAGGGCTTCCACATGCCCATATTCTGTGGACGATAACGTTATTCAAGTTTTGATGGCTCTAGGTACTGTTTTTTTATCCCAATGCGAGAAACATACATACATTCATGCAGATTCTTCATTATTTAATTTCTTTAAATGAAATACAGGGCGATACTATTTGGTGGCAACAATTTGAAAAGTGACACAACACTTGTCGTGAATCGACGTAAAGTGCCAAAACGAGATTAATAGTCCTTTTGAGCAAATTGCTCCTTTGGACTAAAAAGATGTAAATCAGTTTACTGTAGAAAAATGTCTTACATTTTAGTCATTTTGGCACAAAACGAACAATATACACTTTACGAGATAGTAAATACTCTGATTATGGATTGAATACGGCGTGATTCAGAATTCATCATCAATATTTGATGGGGAGGTAGGGAATAGGAAAAGAAGGAGATTTCTCATAGGAAAGTATGGGCGCAGACGAACGCATAGTGGTGTAGAGGGCGCTGTGTGTACACAACTTCCATGAAGCTATATGAACCGGTATACGTGGAATGAACTTGAAGAAATGCATGTAAATGCCAGGCATCTTCCAGAAGTTCGGCTGTCCATGCAACGCCGTTGTGAGTCATGCATTTTTACAGTTTTTACAGTCAGCAGTTTGAGCACCTCTTGTAAGTCTGTAAAAACCGATGCAAAGAAATGTTTTTTTTTTCCTTACTACTTCCTATTTATGTGTTTTTTCCATCATTGAACTGGGGTCATTTTGCCCTACTACATGGCATATGCGCTTAGGCATTCCAACGTGAAATCTTCTTTTCCTATTCTCTACCTCCCCACCAAATGTTGATGAAAAATTCTGAATCATCCTGTATATAGCGCAGATGAAGTGGAAAAAAAGTAGCAACGCAGTAATTTGGTTTACACCAATTGCAATTAAAGGCCGAATTGAATTACAAAAGGTTTACACCAATTGCAATTAAAGGCCGAATCGAATTACAAAGTTTTAAAAGTAAAATACCATCGGTATCCGAGCAGTCATACCTGCTTTTCCCCATGAGTAACGCGAATACAAACTATTTCTCTTAAAAGTCCTTCCTCTCTTTAAAAATAAAACATTCTGGGATTCTTCACCTGCTTAATTTTGCTTTTTAAGCTACTTTTTGATTCCTTTTAATTGTTTCTTATATTACGCTAGAATTTTACAGCATTTTCTTTACAATCCTATGATGCGTGATACTAACTTCGGGTTCCCGGCTTTATTATTGTACGAAACATATGTGGATTCGCTCTCAAATATGTCACCTGATTCATTTTCAGATCCTATATTCTCAGGGTATGAGTCGAAAATTTCTTTTATTATTTGGTCCTCCATAAAATTCATTATTCTTTTAAATCCTCGATTTTGATGTTTAATTTTTGAAAGATAAATACGCTTTGCATATTTCTCTTAAATCGCTGAGTTTTCTGATTAAATTTGGAATTCGGATCTTACGCTTTGCAGAATGGCAACACACGGTTTTTAAATGGGTGAAGTTCGTAATCAAAATTTCACAAGTTAACACAAAACACAAAATAAATATTAAAAAACATCAAAACTGAGAATCCGA